TTTGGTACATGAGTCTGAAGATCATATACCTGATCCATTAGGCATGTGCATGCCTCAGATCTCCCTCAAAAAAATGCCTCAAAACTCTTCGCTGTGTTCAAATGTCCTAACTCTCTCACAAATGGCTTTTTTAAGTTGGTCTGTTCTAATCAAGATCCAAAAAAAGATTCTCACATTGCATTTGGTTTATAAGTCTTTTAAGTGTTTTTCAATCCAAAACTGTTCCTCCTCTTATCATGCCATTTATTACAGAAGTAATCAGGTCATTTTTAATCTGTAGAACCCCCCACATTCTAGATTTAGCTCATTTCATCCCCGTGGTGTCATTTAATGTGTTTCTCTGTTCCCCGTGTTTCCTGTAAACTGCCTTGATCAGATTCAGTTCAATTCTTTGCCAAAAATACTTCATGAGTAGTCAGATGGTGTCCAGTTGTCCAACTTTTAGTGATGTTAAGATTGATTAATGGGTTTAGTTATTGTCAGCCTAATCCATCCATTCCGAAGTCCTTCATCAACCTTATATCTAAGTATTTTAACAGCCATTGATGATTGTTAGCTAGATGCACTATTTTACTAGAGGTTGAAATGGTTTTTTATAACTCTTTCATTTCTTCTGCATCTATTAGCTAGAATTCTACTCTATCTAAAGAAAAATGTTCCCTATGAAACATTTGGTTACCCTGAAATACAATTTGTGTGTGAAAGGTAGGATATATGATTGATTTTTTTCTTTTATTTATCAATTTTCAGCATAACTGGTTGATGACCAGTGAGTTTTTGTACCATTATGAACACATGGATTTTAAAATACCAAATGTATTTTAATCCATTGCAGTCCTTATTCCTTTTGATGTTCAAAGTGTGCCACTTTTGGCCAGTAGGAGCCCCTTCAAGTTAGCTCCTGTGCCTTCTGAAATGGCTCCAGTAGTCTCTGATGGCATCCTTGCTTTCTGGCACTAAGATATTCATAGCTTATTTTATACATTTCCTATCCTAGACCTGGAGTCAGCCATCTCTCCAAAGAGCCCTCTCTCCTTTTTTGTGGGAAGTGATATTTAAAAACCACAATCTGGATGCTAGGGGTGTTCATTACTACTGGATCTTCATTGTTTCTAAGCTTTATCATTGGACGGAGCTTGGAAATACAGGAGGGTATTGTCACTACATTAAAAGAAAACTTTTTCATCTGTTAAATGTGCATGGGGCAGTATGTGTTAGTGATATAAGACATAATAGCTTGAATTTGTTTTAAAATATCCTAAGTTTTGAAGAAAGTAGAGAAATGGAAAAAGCAGCTTGGAAAATGTTCTTAAAAGTGAATGATGGATATGTGGGAGTTTTTTTATACTATTAACTACACTTTCACTGGATATTTGAAAATCTCCATGATAAAAAGTTTAAGAAAGGGGTGACATCACACACACACACCCCTACTTTTTCACTTCTCTCTCTGATTTCATGTATGTAGAGCAACCTCTTAATTGCTTAATTCTTCCAAGGAAGAAAGTAGAGGGATACAGGATGTAAGTATTTTAGTCCCAGAAAGGAGAATCCCCTATTATACATTAATGAATTGTGAGTCTGGATTGTTTTAATACTGCGATTTTTGTAGTTCAACATCTTTCCCCCATGTCATCAAGATGCCCCTGAAGTGCTTCATTATTCTTGTTCTTCACTGTGTTTCTTTAGACATACTGGATCCAGGTACATCCTCAAGGCAAGCAGGGACCAAATCTTTGTCATCTTCAGTGCCTGGAACTCCCACGGCTGGAAAGCTCTTCTAGGTCCATTTTTTTCTTTGGTTCTGTATATATCTCTTAAAGTAAGACCAGTTTAGATCAGAGATGAAAAATTAATACATATTTACTGGGTACACACTGTCACTATGCTGGGCACCAGATATGCAAACATAAATAAAACACAGAGCCTGCTCGCAAGGAAATTTCATTTTAGTGGGAAAGAAAGACATGTAAATAAGTGCGTGCATACAGAGCCTTTAAGTAGCTCAGAAGTTGGTGGAAGAGAAAACCAGTTTGAACGTTAAGTACAAGCGCTGCTTTAGATGTTCATGTAAAGGGCTTTTGAAACACAACGAAGAACCAGTTACTTCTGAGGAAGCCCAGAATAGGAAGCCTAGAGAAGAGGTAGTGTGTGAAATGAGCCTGTAAAGGTGAGCAGGGATTCCCCAGACAGTGAAGGGACTGGAATCAAGGGAAGGAGGAGATATTTAGGGAGAGGAGCGTGGATGTCCACAGGCAGAGGAGAATGAAAGGCCAGGGCAGGGCCTAGGGGAGGGGCCTTGCTTTCCTGATCCTGCAGTAACAACACATGCCTGTGACTCTCGGCCCTGCAGACCAAATCGAGCCCCCACCTGGTGTAAATCACGGTTACTGGACCACAGCCACACCCGCTTGTTTACGGATTGTCTAGGGCTGCTTTTGCGCTACAAAGGCAAAGTTGGGGAGCTGTGACAGAGACCTTTTGGTGTGCAAAGCCTGAAATACTTACTATCTGGTCCTTTGCAGAAAGTTTGCCCACCTCTGCTCTAGAAAAATATTTCTCAAACTTTAATGTGCATTTAAATCACCTGGGAATCTTGTTTAACTGCAGACTCTGATTCAATAGGTCTGAGTGGGCCTAAAATTTGAATGTCTAAGAAGCTCCCAGGAGATGCCAATGTTGCTAGACAGTTCGGCACACTTTGAGTAGCAAAGATCTAGAGAAACCCTGGATTCTCAGGGCTTATTCTTCCAGAATGACAATCCATCAGAAAGCATCAGAGAGTTGAGACAATGGAGAATGCTGAACTCATTTCCAGACACAACCTGACTTACCGAAGTTCACTGAGATGGAAGCCCTGTTTCTGTTACACTTTAAACTTTCAGGACAGTTTTATAAATGCCAAATGGCCATTCATCATGTCTTTCTTCTTCCTCAAAATAAAGCTGATACCATAGTCACCATATGCTCTGCTTCCATTCTCAAAGTGTCTCCATTTCTATTCGTTTGAGCCGAGGGTCTCCTCAGCGGTAGGCTACACAAGGCACCTCCATGCACTTCATCCCCACTGAGCTACCCACAGTCTACCTCCCTCTCTTAGCTGCAATAATATGGTGATCAAACACATTTCCAAATGTAGTATCAAACTGAAAGGACCTCTCGTAAAACATAAAAAGAGCAAATCTGGTGGGTCTCTATCTTGAACCATATCTAATAACAATGCTGATTTCCACCCACCCCATTCCAAAGTCCTTATGACATTACAGTAAAATAAGAACACTTACTCGAATGACTTCACATATGCTTTGCTTATTCAGCTTGCTGGTATGAGGGTTGAAGTTGTGAACAACCCCTTCCCTACCCTTATTCTTAAACAGAGGATTAGAATTAACTCAGATTTGGCAGATATCGAGTCTGAAAGAAAAGTAAAATCCTCTGGCATTCAGATGTGTTTATTCCTGGCAAAGAGCTTCCTATTTCTGCATCCAAAGAAAAAAGAGTTATATAAAGAATCAAGCTCAAAGGGCACTTTGGACATCAAATAACTCTCAGAACAGCCACGTTTAAATGAGTTAACTCCAAAGGACTCAGAAACATAAGGACTGAATTCCCACGGAAACTTTACACACAGACTTTATACTTAATGTGTTCAATAGAGTGCATGTTACAATTTATCTGGAAAAATAATTTATCCCTCATCATGACTCCAGAAGTTTCTTGGTTCTCCAAGAGCCCAGGGCCAGGAGCCAAGAGTGAAAGTCCCCACTCTCGGTTATGTTTGGCAAGTCACTTAAACTCACAGCCCCAAATCTGCATCATGACCGCTAAGCGCAGAATTGGGTGGATTTGCCCAAGGTCACCCAGAGCCAAGCAGAGCCAGGAGTCAAGCTCAGTCTTCTGATCTCGAATCAAGGGATTCCTTCAATGTTCTGTGCAGTCCCTATGAATAAAAATCATGCATTTATTACCTTGCTCTTAAAAGACCAGTGTCAGAAGCTGCCCAGCCCAACTTGATCTGTAAGTACAACCCCCAGCATTTTTTAGTTGCCATTTCTGTTTTCTGGGCTAACATTGGAAATTACCTTTGTGTGAGCTCCCATGCAGCAACGGAGAATTGTAGTTAGTTCAAATCAATGGAGAAATTGCTAGATAAGCTTGGCTTGTGTTGTCGGTATGTTTCAAGCTTTTCTGAGAGGGACTGAAGAAACACGTGCCTTAAGTGTTGCTTGTGAAGTGCCATGATTCAAGTGGCTAAGGAGGAGGACCAGGGACACCCATGGAATGATGATGAAGACCTGCTCTACTGTGTGTTTCTTGGCTAAATGTTATAATAAAGCTATGAATATTAGAAACACGAATGGAAAGATTGAGGACACTTTACAACTGGTCTAATGAAGCTTTTCAATCTATCTGTTTCACAAATATTTCTCAATGAACACAAAATAAAGAGAGCAAAGGGATGTGAGCAGATCAGGGCAAATTCATCACCTCTACAAGCAGGACTGCTGCCAGCCCATCCAGTGCCTTTGTGCCAATGAGCAAAAGGGGCCCCTCTGCATGGCATAGCCCTCAGTGAGCAGAGCAAAAGCTAGATTTCACTCACGCTTTCACTAGGGGCCCCCTACAAGAAGAAATATTTAAATATTTAAATGTGCCTGGCACAGTTCTAAATGTAAGTATACATTAATTTTGTAACCTTCATGATAATCCAACAGTGTATTATTTACAAGAGTAACAACACTCATATTAATATCATTATTCCCATCTTACAGATGAGGAAACTGAGACAAGAAGCAAGTAAGAGATTTATCCAAGGTCACATAGCTAGTAAACTCCAGAGTTAGAATTCGCTCCTGGTGAGAAAAGGATCCTCTGAGCTTCAGCTTGTACTCGCCTTTAGGAAGGAAAACACATCCCTGTCTTCCCAGGGAAGACTTCTGCAAGGCCAGGCCCGCGGCTACTTCATCTGACTAAAGAAACCGTACACAGACTCAGATACATTGATTCCAAAATTTACATCAAGAAAAAATTGCCCCAAACCTGCAGCACCCTTAGGCAAAGTTCAGAACAAAGCCATCAGCGTGGATGCGAAAAGTCTTCAACGGGCTGCAGTAAAATGACTTGCACACATGCTTGTATGATTGTCATGCCTGTGATGTGTGTGTTTTGGGGTGTATGAGGCTGTTTCCTTCTGAAGCTCAGCATATGATCATCAAACACTTGGATGTCCATTTAGGGTGAAGGTAGAGTCATTTTCAAGACTGCACATTGCCTGGAAGAAAGTACTGGTAAACAGTTCATAACGGAACAATGCACACCATCCAGTCCCTAGCCAACCAAAAGAGAATAGAGAGCACCTACTCTATACCAGACCACCCAGTGTGCAGAAGAACCAGAATGTGTAGTCACAGAGCCTGGCCTTCGTTTACTCCTCAGCCTTGCTCCACACCCCATCACGCTGTTCCAGCACACAGAACTCTGGAGGTTCTCTGGGTGTGCCTTGGGTGTGCCCTGGGCCTTCACACTTGTGTGGCTTCGCATTTGCTCTCACTTCTACTTGGAATGAGTTACTTGCTTGTCTACCTAGCGAACTGCTCCCCATTCATTGGATGACTCATATCACTACCCTGTGACGCTTTCCCTGTCTCCCCCCAAAACTTTCCTTCCTCCATCAGCTCTCCCACTGCACTATGGGCTCCCCTTCATCAGAGCGATTTTGATTTACCGTCAAGAATTCAGGCTTTGGAATCAGATGGTTTTCTCCCCGCAGGGGCTCATTCACTCTCTGGCATCAGCTGACTCTTCCTCATATGGGGATGATCAGAGCCTGTGCCTTCCAGTGAGGAAAGATCAAGTGACAGACTCACGTAAAATTTCAGAAATTTTCTAATACGTGCTTCCTGCTCATCTCATGTTGGACTGTAGTTGCCTCTTTAGTGTCTGTTGCTCCTTGAGAACAAAGTCATGCTTTTTCACCTGATTCCAGAGCACTTAGCAGAGTGCCTACGGCAGAGGCCTTCAGTGAATATTTAGTAAATAAAAAGATGAACAAACATGAAAGCATCAAAGGATCTCAGAGAGGATCTTATCTAATATTTTTCCATGTGTATAAGGACCCCCCTTTATAAATCAAAGCTTGATTGTTTCCACAAAATCATAGATATTTGAAATATCTGTGGACTGGGCAAATAATAAGCCACTTGGATTTACTGATCCAAGTGCATACATGGATTATTTTTTCCTTCTTCTTCTTCTCTCCAAAGCCCCCCAGTACATAGTTATATATTCTAGTTGTAGGTCCTTCTGGTTGTGCTATGTGGGACACGACCTCAGCGTGGCCCGTCTGAGCCCAGGATCCAAACTAGCGAAACCCCAGGCCACTGAAGCAGAGCGCATGAAGTCAACACTAGGCCACAGGGCTGGCCCCAGGATGATCTTTTTATGAATGAACTTTGAAAGAACTCTGCTGCTCACTAGGGGCTTACAGATATAATTCAACCCCTATATTTGAGAGATAGGGGGAAACTGAGATTAAAATTAAGTATTTCCAAGGTCATAGAACCAATGGGCAGAACAGCCAGAACAAGAAAGTAAATCTCTTGGGTCCCTGGTCTCTATCACGAGGGAACTTACCCTCTTGCAAGGAAGCCTAGATAACTTCCACATGGAATACTTTGAAAGAAACACAGCTCTGTAAATAACCAAGGGCTGAGTGGCGAGCCAATATCTACAAGTGCAGTTGGAGTTCAGCCTGGTAATGTGGTTGCCCTGGGGATTTTTGAGTGGGCCTCTGAGAATTGGATCACTTCTGAAGTATTTAGAGCACCTGTGCACTGCTCAGCATCATTAAGTTGTCTCGTCTCCCTTTTTACTTCCCTGGGTCCTGAAAGGGTTATATATTATACTTTGGAACTGTTGTCTAGAACAGGAGGGGGTGGATAAAGAGGTATGAGATGGATTCAAACACACTGTTTTCAATGGACTCATTTGGAATTTATGGCTCCATGCAATCAATCTTTCATCCACTTAAAATTTTACCTCTGCCTCTTCCTGTATCAACAGCACTGAGGTGACACACGTAGCAGCAGGGGGTTGTTAATAGTCTGGAGACGCAGTGCGATGGCTCACAGTTTCAATATTTTAATACAGTTCTTGCTTGCAGCCATGTTTTTCAAGCAGGTTAATGTTGCTCAAGTGTAGAGCGGATTACAGAAGCATGGCTGGAGCCAATGAAGATTTTAGGAGGCTGTGGCAATCATCTGAGCAAGAAACTTGAACTCGGAGTTTGAAACAAAGCAGAGACAGTGGGGCAGATGGAGAGAGGAGAGACCTGAGAGAGGGTTAAGCTCTCTGAGGAGACAGCCCAGGTCTGTTTTGTCCAGTTGAATGTGGAAATTGAGTAAGAAGGTGGAGTAGGGAACAATGTCATTGTCCAAGGCCACTCAACCAATTTAAATATAATCTCCTGCAGGGAAGTCTTGCAACTCCCAGTGAATCAGGCAACTGGGAGGCCCTGACAGCCTCCTCGGCTCCTTTCTGCATCTTCTGGCTACTTTTCCCAGGTGCCCAGAATCCTCTGGAATTCTCCAGAATCCTCCAGGAGCTTCAAGGCTCATGCTCTAATTATTTCCTTCCTCCTGATGTCCGTCAAATATGATCTATGCCTCTTCCCTCAGGATCTTTGTGCCCCTGTCGGAGGCTTATACACAGCTAGATCAACAACAACATCACTAGTAATACCAAGAGCCAAGATTTATTGAGTACTAAGTTACATTCATTATCTTTATTTGGTCCCCATAAGAATTCTCTGAAGTCGATAATATTATCACCTCCATTTTTCAGATGGTAAAACCAAGCAACACAGAGGCACAGTGTCAGGACTGGAAGCCAGGCAGTTTGATTCCACCACTCGCACTCCAATACCACACTTCTTCCACAAATAATCGGCAATGAATCTGGTCCACTCTGGCAATTGTTCTCTTCCTTACAGGACCTTCTCTCTATCCTCATAGTAGTTAGAAGAATGTTATGCACATATTTATTGATTTGAATGGATCAATATTGAAATGATATTCGTTGAAGCCACATTATTCCCAAAATACGCTGGGCTGGGATGCAGACAGCTTACATTTATTAAATGTGTACTATGTGCCAGACTAACTACATGCTTATGTGCATTCACTCATTTAAACCACACAACGACCCTCTGAAGTGGGCACTGTTATCATCAACTCTAGTTTATAGACAAGGAAATGGAACCCCAGAGATCACATGGCCACTCAGGGACGGATCTGGGATCCAAACTCTGAGACTGTCTCCAGAGTTCACACTCTCAGCCACTATGGTCTGCTGCAAGACTGGCATGCTCAAAGTTATCTTGAGGAAATTTACTCATGATCAAGAGCCAAAACAAATTGATTCCAAAATAATTCGTGATGTGGGTTTTCATGGCCTATGGAGAACACATTATTGAGGAGAGAAGAGAAGATTAGGCAAGAATTGAGCAAGCAAAAAGAAAAAGGCACAGCCTTCCAGACACAGAGCTCAGTGTGAGAAAACGTGATGGATAAAAGCAAAATAGATTTATTGATGAGCAGGGTCCAAGATTTCATGTTGGGGGAATGAGTGAGTTGTAGTTCAGAAGAAGCTTCGAGGCCTTGTTTATCAGGCTAGGAAACACGGTCTTTTTCATGTAGATTTCTTAAAAAGAAAAGAAATGGCAGAGTGAAAGCTATGATCTACGAGGGATACCAAACCTCAGTTTCTCCACCTGTCAAACAGACCCAAAATATTACTTCACAGATAGTATGAGCCAATGTGTTTTAAGTGCAAAGCGTAGTGCCTGGAATGGCGTGAGTGTGTGATAAATGGTAGTCGGTCATCTGACTGTGGATGAAGAGTATAGGCAAGAACCTGGCAACAGGGAGCTACATTAAAGAGTGGAGGATGTAGGAACAGGAAGGACATTAGGGACTCATTGATGCACCAAATATCAGGAAAAGGACAATGATATGTGCTAGGTGACTCTCAAGTTTCCAGCCTAACTGGTACTAAAGGAAAAGGTGAAGAAGCCAGGAAAGAGAAACAGCTGGGTTTTGTGGAAGTATTGAGTTTGGTTGCAGACAAGCTGTTCCTGCAGTGACGTGGTAACAGCCAGGAGGCAGGTGGAGAGAGGGAATGAGAGCTGTTTAAAGTCATGAATTGTGGCCTTGAGTTCAGAGTCATCTGTATAGATGCCATTTATGTCTCTGCTCCACTGCCCGAATATTCTTCCCCCAGAGATGCCCAAGCCTGCCTTATCACTCAGGGCTCAGGTCAAATGTCACCTCCTAGGAGGAGCCTCCCCTGGCCACCCTGAGATAGGGCAGTGGTCCCCTGTACTCTCTATCCCATCATCCTGTTTTACTGACATCATACCACTCGCCTCTCTCTGCAGGTGTAATCTGTCTGTTGACTTGTTCAGCGTGCCTCCCCCAGGAGGACAGGGGCTTGGTCCGGTTCCCTACTAGATCCAGGGCCTAGAAACATCTGGGATATAGCAGGACTCACTATTCCTAGTAAACTGTATTAATGCACTATTAAAGTCAGTAAATATAAATACATTTGAATAAATGAAACTATAATGTTGGATGTGCGCAGAGGGTAAGGAGAGGGAAGAACAGAATGTCACAGTTTGAGCCCTTGGAAGCATCTATTGGGCAGGAGGCAGGAATGAGATAGAGAGTGAAAATGAGATAGAGAGGTAGGAAAAGAAGCAAGACGCAGAAGTGTCCTGAAGACCAAGGGCAGAAGGGATGTCAAAAAAAGAAAGAAAGAAAGGAAATTCAGCATGGCCAAATGCTGCAGAGATATTAAGGAGAATGAAACAGAAGAACAAGGCATTTGTGGGGGGACCGGGGCTCTAGTGGACTGTGAGCGCCCATCGGAGGGTGAGAGAGAAGGTGGCATGGAGGGAGGCAGGTACCACTAATGCCAATCCCTGGGAATTCTTGGACGGGAAACAGGGTTGAAAAGTAAGACAGCAGCTTAAGGGGGCAAGAATGTAAGAGGAAGTAGTTCCTAGAAAGGAGAGAATTAGGCATGAAAAGGGAGAGATTGAAGATGCTTAAGAAAAAGGGACAATGATGACAAGGAGAATATGTCTGTCTCCAAGGGAAGGCAGACAGACTGAGCAGATCTATGAAATCGACTATCAAAATCCACAAAATGGGGGCCAGCCCTGTGGCTGAGTGGTTAAGTTCGTGCGCTCCACTTCAGCAGCCCAGGGTTTCGCTGGTTCACATCCTGGGCACAGACATGGCACTGCTCGTCAGGCCATGCTGACGCAGGGTCCCACATGCCACAACTAGAAGGACCCACAACTAAAATATACAACTATGTACTGGGGGATTTGGGGAGGAAAAAAAAGAAGATTGGCAACAGTTGTTAGCTCAGGTGCCAATCTTTAAAAAAAAAAATCCACAAAATGACTTTGTTAGGACTTGTAGAAATTGGTCCCATTACCATCCAGTTATAACCCAAACATATAAAGAGAAATATAACAATACATACAAACAGGGGCCAGCCCGGTGGCACAGTGGTTGAGTTTGTACACTCTCCTTCCGTGGACTGGGGTTTGCTGATTTGGATCCTGGGCACAGATCTATGCACCGCCCATTAAACCATGCTGTGGTGGCGTCCCACATATAAAATAGAGGAAGATGGGCACAGATGTTAGCTCAGGGACAATCTTCCTCAACAACAAAAAAATACATACAATCAAATACTAACTAATGCCTTTGCCATATGGAAAGAAACATTTTCATCTGCTTAAAACCAATTTAGGGGCAAACTAGAGCATCCAAAGCAAAATCAGAAAATAATTAGAGAAAGAAGAAAATAGTCAAAATAAAGGAAAGAGAAGTATTAGGACTCCCAACACCATGTTGGCTAGCTCCCTGGTTGAAGCAAGCCCCTCGCCCTTGTGGAACAACAGCTGTCCGCTGTGAAAAATGGGATGGTTCCCAGTCTCTTACCTTCCTCGTGAGATTTCTGCACAGGTTCAAAAGAAAAACAGTATGCTGTGAAGCACTTAGAAGTATGTTATAAATGAATGTGAGCTGGTGTGGTAATACCTGAAAGTGATTCCATTATCCTAAATGTAACAGGACAGCTTTGTGTACACCCATTGAGAGGTGATTAATGGGTCTCCAGCAGCCTCATGCAAAGGCCTTTGAGAGCACCTGTTTGAAGGAGACGCTGGACCAGCAGGAAGCTTAATGACTCCAGTGGGATGCTGCTGCGGCCCGGGGGCGGGAATCAGCAGCGTTATCACAGGTTACCTAAGTGATAAATCAGAGTTATGGGGAGGGAGATCACAAGGGGACCCCCACCCCAGCCCCCGCCTGAGGGGGAGCCAGCTCCGTTGTTCATGCACTCTCAGATATATCAAAACAGGAATGTCAAGCTTTTTTAAAAAAGGTATAAGATTTGAGGAAAAAAAAAAGTCAGACGACAGAGAAAAAGAAATGCCCCAAACTCCAGGCCCCAAGGGACTTGAGTTCTCAGAGTTCCAGGCTCTGTGGGAATGGTCCAGTGCCTGCCGCCCCCGCCTCTCCTCTGGGGGTCAGAGCTGGGGCAGATTGATGAAGCTGGGGCTTAGGACTGATGGCTTATGGAATCTTGATGGTGCTCCCGTGCTCCTCTCTCCCATGTTTCCTATCTTCTCCTATTCTTTTTCCTTTCCTCCTGCACATCATCTTTGTCTTCTCACTCGTACAGTCCTTTGGCCTCATCTGATACTGTTGTGTAAGACTGCAGTATATGTATATTTCCATCTGCCCACCCACAACCCCCACACACTCACGCCAGGCGCACACCTTCTCACAGCAGATTATAAGCGCTTAAAGGCAGGGACCTATGCCGTACATTTTTATCTCCCCGTACCTGGCACAGTGCTATGCTCAGTAAATCTTTATGGATTTTGTTTCCATTTTTGTATCTTTTTATATATTTGTAAATTAGCAAAGACTTTCATTAAAGGGACCATACATACACAGAGATGAGCATCGTGATCTGTTCTAGAAAATTACAGAATGAGACTCTTGAATTCTTGGAATTTCTTACACCTCACAATGGCACCAATACGTCAGTCATTCATTCATCCATTTATTCAACACCACTGAATGCCTATTATCTCCAGGCACCATGCACACTACACACACACACACACACACACACAAATCCTGCTCTCTAGGAACTCAGTTTTGTAAAAGAAAGACTAATCATAAATAAATAATTACAAGAGGGCTTAGCGTATTCTAATAGGAGTGCTGGATAAAGGACCATGGGGGATGTCTTGATAATCAAGCAGTGGTCACAGGGGAGTAGGGTTCTGAAGGATGAATAGGAGCATCCTTCAACTCACCTGGAGACAGTGCAATCTAAGGGCACCACTCATGTGTGCTGATATCTACCGACGGGCACGAGGTGGCCGTGCATCCCTGTGGACTTCAGGGAAGGTCCCTGATCCTTGGCATCCGGCCCAGACAGCCCCACTGCAAAGAGATGTTTTTATCCGGCTCTAGTGGCCTTTCCACATTCATCTGGTGCTGTTTGAGAAGGTTTTTCCGGGAGAGTTGCCCACAAGCATCTGTCCAAACCCCTTGCAGGCGCTCAGAATGCTGAAGAATTTATTAATTTGGGTATTTTATGTCAGCAATTTTCATTTGACCCATTTAAAGGGAAATGCCTGCATGCCTTTGATCAGAGAATTCCTATTATCTGGAAAATAGGTTTTCTAGTAACCTGGGGTAGGAGATGTTTGAGGCTTTGCCGATTTATTTCACTTTGAAGTTTTAAATGGTAGTCCGGCTCTAGAAACGGCAGAGGTGCATTTCCTTGCTGTCTCTCTCCACTCCCCTTCCAGGATTTGTTTCATGAATCATTTCACCAGAAGGATCGTGGTTTGAAAGCTTCCCTCACAATGACACAGCTGCTTGTCAGCTGTGTTCCTAGACAAGACACTCATCATGATATACATCCTTACAAGCGTGGGAAACAGGGGGGCTCCCATCTGATGACAGGGACCCAGGGAATAAGGTCTGGGAACACAACTCACCATTTAAAACCCTGTCCCAGAAGCCTGACGAAATGGAGAAGAGCTCTCTCATTCTACCTTGACCTTAAGATATTGGCTCCTGGTTGCATTGTGATAAAGCAAACCATGCATACTATACTCTCACATTAAAGTGGTTGTCTGCTTGCTAAAAAGAAAAAAAAACCCACATTCAAATGTCACAGACTTACACATTCTTGAAAACGAAGGATAATTTTTGCAAGTTAAAAGGTCACTCTCAATGCTAGTGATTCCCACGTTAGAGACAAGTGTCTCTTTTATTCAAAGCCTTCTTACTGAATGCTTGTTTGCACTCACACTTTAAATACACTTTTTATATAAAATATTCAAAATAACTCTTCAGAGTAGCATTATCACGCCCATTTTACAGATGGGTAACTTGAGAGAAGCAGAGAAAACAGGTAACTTCCCCAAGGCCTTGCAACCAAAGGAACAGCAAAACTTGGGCTCTCAAGTGCCCCGTCTGCTGTTCCCACATAGTACTTTGCTGGGGGAGACAAGGAGGCAACAAAGACAGCTAGCCAGGCTTCGTACATGAATTGAAATCCTAGCTTGAAAGCTAGGTGACACTAGGACCAAATGTCATAGACAATGTGGGGCTCCAGTCACTAGGACAGATCTCAAACCACACACACCCAAACAGAGAGATCTCAGCCAGAAACCCTTACCTGCTCAGGATGGTGTGGGATGCAGAAAGGGGAGGAGATTGGGGGAGGGGGGGCGGGCAAAGAATTGTTCTGTCATTATTCGTGTCTAGTGCCTGCCTCTCTGCTGGGACTGTCAAGATTCTGAGCAGGTGGAAACTTAAGGAATGCAGATCCAAATAATGCTTTAGCTGCCACGTCAAAAAACAGTAGAGTGGGGCTGGCCCGGTGGCGTAGTGGTTGAGTTTGCACACTCTGTTATGGCAGCCCAGGATTCACAGTTTCAGATCCTGGGCATGGACCTACACATTGCTCATCAAGCCATGCTGTGGCAGTGTCCCACATACAAAGTAGAGGAAGACTGGCACAGTTGTTAGCTCAGGGACCATCTTCCTCAAGCAAAAAAAAAAAGAGGAAGATTGGCACTAGATGATAGCTCAGGGCCAATCTTCCTCTCACACACACACACACACACACACACACAAAAGCAGTAGAGGGAGGGACAAGGGGCTGTGGATCATGAGGCAAAAACATTTGGTTCCAACCAAGCATAGGATCCCAACAGAAGTCGGAAGTTGGCTTCAGACCAGCATGCAGCTCCATGAGATAAGATGGCTCCCTCTCCTTTGCCTTCACTTTCTCTCACCTCCTTCTCTTTTTAATGAGCTGGAGACTTTCCCAGGCAGCCATGTGCTGTCCCAGTGAGTCGATCAGCACAAGGGGCCTCCTTTTCCTCCAGTTTCGCAATCCCTCCTGAGTTTGGGAAATAAGACCTCTCCTGAGCTCCCCATACTCTGCTCCACCTATCCCTCTCCTCTTGGACTTCTCTGCCTCTTTAAACATGCATCAGCAGGAAGAAGGAAGGGATGTTCATGCTAGAACGCCCAGTGCCTGAAGACAGTAAAGGGGAGGTTTTACATTACAGCAAGCTTAATACATCGCAGCCTTCGCCGGGTCCCCACACTGTGGAATGCAGCTCACACCTTCTGTTCTTCATTCCCCCAGATCCTCCTGACTAACTCAAAACCACCAGCAAAGCTAAGCTTCATAATCTCCCTCTTCCTCTCATCACTTTCTAGGGTCAGTGATGACCTTGTCACCCTGTAGTGTCCATCCGTGGGATGTCACCTCTTCAGTTGCAAAAGCAGCAATTCTCCAGCACTGAGAGCGTGATATTAGCACTTTATTGTTTTACTTATTTTTGCATTCATTTCCCACATGGTTTCGACAAGACCATTTATGGAGTCCAGTATGTGCCAGACATTTTTCTAGGTGCCAGGGTATAAAGATGGGTACAACACTGTTCCTAATCTCAAGAAGCATATAATTTAATAGAAAGATTTGAATGGAAATTCAAATTTTAATAAATTATATCTAGGTTACCATTTTATAATTAATCATACATTTTAAAATCCCAAAGTCATCAAAAAGGAGTTTTACTTAACTTAGCAATTTGACTCATTATAAACACCATGAATGGAGTAACATATTTTTGGTAAATAAAACATATGTTTTCTATTAAATTTGCATTCTAAGAAATAAACCCTGTAGCTAACTAGAAAATGCACTCATCCAGAACGACTTTGTATTAGTCAGCTTTGCTGCAGTAACAAACAATTCCAAAATCTCAGGAGATTGCAACTTTTCTTTCTCACTCTTGTTACTCGTGGGCTCTCTCATCAGCTGTGGCTCCGTTCCACGTGCCTTCTGATTTCAGAACATATGCCAGAGGTATCTGGAGCATGCTGACCTCAGGCAGGGAAAGAGTGAGAGAACTGGGGGAAACACAATGCCTCTTAAAGCTTCTGCCTCCAGGAGATGTATGTCACACTCAATGATATTTCATTGTGCAAAGCAGGTCACAACTTCAAGGTCAAAATCAATGGGGTGGGCATATACTCTTCCTACAGACAATGGGTAAGGGAGGAAAAATATTTACTGAATTTCAAGGCCTTCAGTAAGCCCATTTTGCAGGCTGGATGAGGCTGTTTCTATGTTTATATCTATATCTATCTCAAAGACATATAATGATGAAACACACACTAGTCAAAGCATGCTGGGAGAATTACAAATGTCCAGAAAACACCGTACTCGAGAATGTGTGCTAATCTGACACCAAGGTTCTAACGCTGTTCCACCTTGCACTTTGGTGGTCTGGAATGGAACTGAAGTGACTTTGTCAGCCTTCTCTCCAATTTCTGTGACATTTGGGAGCAGATGGCAGCAAGAAAGACCCACCGAGGAATCCACTGAACAATCTTCCTTTCACCAGTATTTCAGTGCCATCCATTGCCATTTCGATGCATTGCAAGTTTGCATTTTCACAGATTCATTCATTTCATAAATGAGATAACTCAAAGACAGATTTAACATCTGATTACAGCAAAACTCTCCCATGGTTCAATTTATTTTTTTAACTATCCTCAAACTAGAAGAGCTTGATTGGAGGCTAGCTACCAGGGATCTTGCACATACGTAGTCCTGCCTTGGAAGTGCCATCTTGCCAGTTTCTCTGCCTTCACTGCTACCAACTGGTCCACAGCTCCCTCAGATCACCTGGATTCCTGGCACGCTCCCCGGACAGGCCTCCTGCTCATGTCCTTGCTCCCCTACTGTTCTCAGCACTGCTGCCAGAGGGAACCTTTGAAATCAGACATCAGATCACATGCCCTCTCTGTTCAAAACCCTGAACTGGCTCCCGTTTCATTCGGAGCAAAAGCCAGCTCCCTCCAACCGTTTACCTGGTGGTACCTGATCTGGGCCTGATGCCCTGTTTCCTTCTCCCTCCCTCCCCACTCACTCTGCTTCAGCCTCATTGGCCTCCTTTCCCTGGAAGCAAATCTGTTCCCATCTTAGGACCTTTGCTCTAGGCATTCCTCTTCCTTCTGTTTGGAAGGATCTTCTCCCAATATCTGCTTGGTTAATTCCCGCACTTACTCAAATCTCACCTTCCCAGTGGGGCACACACTGGTCACCATTTTTGATCATGAAAACCGCCCATCGCACTTCACAGCCTCCTGACCCTGCTCTGCCTGTTCTTTTTTCAATAGCACTTTATCACCTTTTAACCTTCTTGATAATTTGCCTGTCATACTTACTGTTTCACATCTGTCCCCCCCCATCTCTTACATGAGCTTGATGAGACGAGGTGTCTTTGACTACTCTGTTCACTGATTGCTCCCAATTGCCAACATTCATGCTTGGCACCAAGTCAATGTTCAATAACTATTTCTTCACTGAGAAACTGAATCCCTACCCTCATTCCCTGAAATACAAACATGTAAAGAATTTTTTTAGATCACTAGGTTACTCCCTTCATCATTTTACTTGCTTTTCAAACAAAAATTATTAAAAAATATTTTGCATTTTAAATATTCTAATATCAGCCTTCATTCATCATGTTTGAGTAAGGAGCAATTTCCAAAGGGGTATCAATTTCCCCTGGGGAAAAAAAATCAGCATACTCTACATCATCATGTAACATTTGGATGATTAATGTGAAAAACTAGATGTTACTTCTCCCATATTACAGATCATGCCATTGAGCTCAAGTGGGTAGCTATGATGTCCCTCGTAATTTAATCCGTCTCTTAATCTTTTTAACTGCCCTCTTTCCACTGACTGACTCAAGTATGAGTTGAATGCCAAATAGATGGAGACCTCCTTAATACTTTGACTTTGCTACAAAAATGATGCTGTCATTACATACTTCGAGAAATGTATACATTTTATTACAAGGAAAGAAAGAACTGAAATTTGAGGATGCTACCTAAATCAGAGCCTTCCAATGGATAAACCTCAGCAATGGTACTCCAACTCACTCCTATTGTTCATGACTTAACTTACACTGCTGTTAAAAAGCCTTCCTCATCCCCCAAGGCCACCTACAAAGTTCCTTAATGCCTGGTGCCTCTGTGAGAGCACTGGTGCCCCGTGACAGCACTTTTCAGAGTCTGAATTTTATCAACATACAACCCACCCTTGATTAGATAATGAACAATGAACCAGGAAAGATCTGGTTTTGCTAAGTCTTACAAGGTTTTGCACATACTAACCATTAACTCTGAAATCAAACTGGGCTTGAATTCCATCCACCTGCTGGCTGCATAACCCTCAGCCAGTCATTTAAACTCCCCAAGCCTCATCTGCTAAATGGGCATAATAATAGCCACTCATCAAGCCATGCTGTGGTGGCATCCCACATAGAAGAACTAGAAGGACCTATAACTAGGATATACAACTATGTTCTGGGGCTTTGGGGAGGAAAAAAAGAGGAAGATTGGCAACAGATGTTAGCTCAGGGCCAATCTTCCTCACCAAAAAAAAAAAAAAAAGTAGTCTTTGCCAAAGGAGCACCTGAGAGAAAATCGTTCTCTTTGTAAAAACTGAAAAGCCTAGGACAGTGTCCAGCTCATTTATAATTTAATGCACTTAATGAGGGCTTCACTTTATGCAAACCATAGACTACACCTGCATAACTTCTTTTGTCTGGATAATTGCTCTTCAGGCTGGGATCAAATAAGGATAGAACTGCACCTGGGTCTGTCAGAGGGCAGTGGCGAAACACACACACCCATGTGGATTTATAGTTACATGGGGTGTTTTGGACTGAGTTGCAAAATCTTCCAGTAGGGGATCCAGTCTGGTCGTTAAAATAAAATAATCTATTACAATGTTTCCTTTTCTTTGAGTGTATCTTGAGCTAATGGTAGAGCAGAGCAGAAGCAATGGCAGTTACTGCTTTAGACACATTTTTTCCTTTCTATGGAGACAGGATAGTATGAGTAAGCGAATTCATTCTTCCACTTATTCAAAGAGATGTGGAGGACCTGTAAGGCACTGTCATGATGTCCGTCTTCAAGGAATACTCACTGTGGGGCAGGGAAGGTGGGAGACGTGGAAACTACCATCTCCAACTGGCTCAGACAAGTTCTACAGTGATGTGAGTGAGGCCAGGAGAGGAGGGTTCCTTAGAAGGCCGTTCAGGGATGGGGCAGTGGGGTTCTGAGAAGAGGCAGCCCACCTGAGCCCGGCTCTGAAGTAATGCTGGGATTTCTTAAGGCAAAGAAGGGAGAAAAATAGGCTTTCAGAGAGGGAGGAGGCAGAGAACAATTATAGTCTTGACAGAATAAAGGGTGTCCAGGCAACACACTTAAGCCAGTAATGTGGCTAAAAATTAGATTGGAAAAGAAGGAAAATCCCATTATTCCAGCCCTTACTATGTGCTGGACCATGCTAGGTCCTTTATAAACATGATTCCCTGACTCTGTAGGTCCCTTGTAGAGGTGAGAAAACCGGAAGCTCAAAAATGATCACATAGCTCAGAGGATCATGTCCCCCGCTGAAGCTGAGCTCCCAGCTGGCTGACTGCAGAGTCTATGCTCTTTGCATCAGCTACACAGATGCTATGTAGGCTGGAAATTTGAAATCCAAAAATAGAGTCAAGGGGACCAAGACTTTGCTGTTATCTTTCAATAAACTTTTATTCGTCAACAGGAGAGCATTGCTGCTATAAGGTTCTCCCGCTCTCCGCACCTCTGCACATTCTCCACTGGAATTGCTATCAGGATAATAAGCAACAGCATGGCTTAAAAGTTAGTAAGCAGCAAGATAAGTCATAAACTGGCTAGCTAATCCCCGGACAGGTTCTAGATATATGCAAGATGGCCCCATGATCTCTTCATTATTATATATGGGATTTTTAAAACGTGTTCTGGGCGCCCCTTATCCCTGCCCCCTGTGACCCGCTGCGCCGGCTAGCCTGCAGGATAACAGCTAACACCATTAGCTTTCCACCAACCTGGCAGCCCCCCTTCCAGCCTTCAGACGGACCAAAGGCAAAGAAACCATTTGCTTTCGTCTTTTCTCTTCTTCCACCACTACTGCAGATACTACGTCTCCCTCGGGGATAACAGCTGAGGGCCTCTCCCCACAGGCAGCTCTCTCAAGGCTAAAACCCTTTCTTAAATCAGGAGTCACATGGACGTCCCGATTCAGCAAAGCAGCCCTGTCGTTCAAGGGAGAGAAGAGTCAAGAACTCCCATTTCTATTGCTATCTGCGCCCTCTGCCGAGCGGGGTAAGGGAGGGAAGACTCCCCAGGCGGAGAATCCTCACTCTGTCTTGGCTGTTAGCTCCCCGGAACGGCAGTCGGCCCAGGAACACGTCTTCCACGCCTAACCCGGGGGATTTTTACTGAAACCCTGCTACTTTCACTTTTTAAACTTTACCGCCATCTCGTGGCTACTTTCAATATTGCATGTGAATGAATCGGCACAGGTTAACCAGCCTTGCAATCATTCATTCACTCCTTTATTCAACAAGTACTTTTTGAGCTCCTAACATCTCAGGCTCTTGAACAGAAAAACAAGCTGATAAAAGTAAAGAGTAAGAAAGCCTTGGAGTATTATTGTAATTTTTTATTTAATACGCTTTAAACCTCGACAGTCAGCTTGGCACTGCCAGGTTTAAAAAGACAATGATCTTCTGCAGCCTCTGGCTGACCTTTAAGCCCAGCCATACTGTTGCCCCGGCTATGGGACAAGTCACTTAACACGTTCCTATTAGAGTTGCGGGACATTGAGAAACGGAATGGAATATACCTGATACACATAAAATTACATAAGTAATAAACGCCCAGCATAGAAAAAAATCCAAAAAATAAAAGAAAATTAAAATCATCTTCAATCCCATCACACAGATATGTCAATTAACACTTTAATTACATTAACTTTTTAATATATAGCTTCCATATTTTTAACCTATATGTTACAAAGTATTATCATAATATGTATGCTGTTTTTAAACTTCCTTTTAAAAAAATGCTAATGCCTTTCTTCTTTGCCGCTATATTCCTAGAGCCTAGAGCAATATTTGGCACACAAGAGGTTCTCTAAACATAGTTCTTAAATAAATGAATGTGAATAAACAGTTGCATAATTGCTTTTAATGCCTGTGTAATATTCCACTTTGGGGCTATCCCATATTTATTTAACTAATCTACTCTCATCTGATCATAAGATTCTTTTTATTTTTTATTATTAACAAAACTACAATAAGCAAAGACAGGGGACTCTTATGAGATAGTGGCATGGTAAAGGGGGTCCCTCGGTCAACCTTGTGATTCTGAGACCAGAGCAACACTGGCGGTGACTGCTTTCGAAATAAAATACCAGTTCTGATGCATAAGGTTGCTGTGTTCATGCAAATTTTACCCATCCAAATAAGACCAAAGGGACATCATCTTTCCTAGAACTTTAATCCATGAACCTCAAATCTGCAGATTAGAATTGCCTGGGGAAATTTTAGAACAAGAAATGCCTGGGTCCCAACCCCCGGAGAGTCTGACTTAATTGGTCTCAGGTGGGTCTCACCCACATGTATTTTCCAGAACCCCAGGGTAATTGTAAAGTGCAGCCAGGGTAGAGAAACTCTACTTTAAGTGGAGTTACCCACAGATTTCATGTCAGGGAGACCTCGCGAGAGGGGAGACAGCCAGAGTAAAGTAAGCCTCCTTGAGCGTGCGTGGCTCAAGAGGAACGCGTGGCTGTTGTGGCTTCTCAGATACAAGGCAGCGAGTTCTGCATCCTCCGGTTAATGGGAACCCTTCAGAGCTCTTTTAGGGAATTAACAACAGAAGTGAAACAAATAAATATCTACTAGATGACTTGCCAATACCACAATGACTCTACAGACATCCATCGTCACCCTTGTGCACATAACCACAGGCTGCATCTCTACTGTAATATAGGGAACTCAGTAGCTGGCGTTCTCCTCGTAACTCAACGTGAGTGTTAAAATAGGCTTCGATGCAAGGGAGAGGAATTCACTTGGGAACTACATACATATGTTGTCATTGGCTTTGCACCATCTGGTAGATTTATGAGGGAGTTTGTCCTCTCAGATTCTCTAGAAATATAGACCACATATTCCTTTGACAATTCCCTTAGCCTGATTACTGTTTCCTCTCATTTTACATAACCAGACGTCTGAGCAACCCTTTCTGAACTGAGCATGCCCAGATCACTCACCCCGCCACCTCACCCCAAATTACAATTCAGTGCTTCACCTGGGACCAAAATCCCAGACAGTCCCGTGGGACGAAAATGAGCTAGGGGACTGGAGGTAGTCCCTGCTCCCCAGGAGAGTCTAGTTAAAAATTAAAAAGTAAACAACCAAGAAACATTCTTCGGTGCCGAAACAGTTCTGGCCATATTTCTTTGGGAAATAAAATGTCTCATTTTGAAAACCCCCATGAAGTGACCATTCCCTGTATATTTTCCTTCCCACCCTGTTGGTTTTGATCCGTGTAGTTCTTTCTCGTCTTTTAAGTATCACTCCTGAATTTTGTTTGGAGGTGGGGGAGGGTCTCTCTAGAGAACTGGAAAGGTCGGTTTTGTATCTATCTCCAATGTGCTAAGGGTAGAATTCAAAAGAAAGTAACCAAAAGTTCCATTGATGCCTTCTTGACATTGACGTTGAAGTTCCCAGTATGGCTGCTGGAGCAGTTTGCTGTCACAATGAATTCCACTAAATCCGGTCACTTGGGTCAGCAGCCCATGTGGAAAAGTTGAATTCAAATATAAGTTCTCAAATCCAGATGATCACATACATTCTTCCTAAAGGAGCCACTTCTGAAAATAGCACCTATTTGATCTGAGTAATAAGTGAGAGTCATCGTCAGCCTTGGTTTCTGTGTCCCTTTGTTACATGGTGGACACAGATAATATTTCACAACCTCTCCTTCTACTATGTTCTGCTAGAATATTTCCATTAGCATTAAACGCCCAATCCCTCCCATGCTGAAAAACAAAGCCCCCTTCAGTCCACATCCTCTCATTATTGCCATGGGCTGTCACCCTAACCCCCTACCCTGACACACACACGCTTCACCTAGTTTTTAGTGTCCACTTTCTCACCTCCACTTGTATCCTCAATCTGGCTTCTGCTTCTGTCACTCCACTAAATCCTCTCCAGCCAAAGAGACGAAAATGTCTTGTTCCAGAATGCAAAGGGCGCTCGGCAGCCTCCACCTTACTCATAGACCTTTCAGGCAGCATTTAGCACTGAGGACCACTCTCTCCTTGAGACACCATTTTCCTTGACTTCAGGCCACCACATCCTCTTGGGATTCTTTTTCCTACTTCTCTGGCCACTCCTAGGGTCCTTTTTTGCCTCCTTTTGTCCCCTGAATCTCGTAGTCGCACACTGTCCTGCCTGCTACCCATCTCTCTTCTCTCCATAGTGTCTCTGCCTAGGGGACCCATCCACTCCCACGCCTCCAACCACCAGCTGTGAGCTGACGACTCTCAAAACCCCACTTCAACCCTGATCACTCTCAGCACCCTAAAACCGTGTATCCACAGACCCCACAAGCTCAGCGTGTCCAAACTCAGCTCACCCAGTCCCTCTCGGCCTACTTCCGTATTCCCTGTCTCTGTGAGTGGTGACCCCAAGAGCCCATTTGCAAAACCAGAAACCTGGCAATCATCTTTGACGACTAAACCGTCATATCCTATCAAGTCTAATTCCTAAATGTCTCAGACACAATGCCTCTTTCCGTCCCAACTACTGTCTTAGTCCGTTCAGGCCGCTATAACAAAATACCAAGACTGGGTGGCTTAGAAAACAACAGAAATTTATTTCTCACAGTTCTGGAGGATGGGAAGTCCTAGATCAAGGTGCCGGCAGATTCTGTGCCTGGCGAGAGTCTGCTTCCGGGTTCGTAGATGGCCGTCGTTTCACTATAACCTCACATGATGGAAGGGGATGAGGGAGCTCTCCCGGGTCTCTTTCTCCTTCATGAGAGCTCCATCCTCTCAACCTCATCACCTCCCAAAGGCCCCACCTCCAAAAACCATCACACTGGGAATTCGTTTGCAACATATGAATTTGGGGATGCAAACCTTCAGTCGATAGCAGCTACCGCTGCTTTAATCTGGGCAGCTGGCAGTGTCCTGCCCTAGGATCACCTCAGCCACCTCCTGACAGGGCGCACCGCTTCCATTCTCTCTGATCCAGTCTCCACACCGCAGCCAGGGCACTCTCCACACCGCATTCCGTCGTGGTTATCAGGACCTCCCCAATGCTTTAGAGAACGAACCCCTCGGCACACGCTCTGCAAGGTTGGCGCTGATCTCCCACCTACTTGTCTTCCCAGCCTTCTCTGTCAACCAGCTCTGCTCACTGCACCACAGCACAGGGCTCAGGTACTTGCCTTACTGTGTTTCACCCCAAGCCCTTTGCATATGCTGTTCCCTGGGCCTGAATCACACCCTGGACCGCGAGCTCCCCCATCCCGCTCTGCTGCTTTGCCTAGTTATCAACTACATCTCCTCACACATAGCTTCTCTGGCAAAACCTCCCGTCGGCCCCCACGGCTGTGATACCAGCCCCCTGTGCTCACCCAGGGCATGTATGTATTTCTATCACATCACTTATTACGCTGGACTGAGATGGCCTGTTTGTCTGTGTCTTCTTGCCTTAAGAAGACTGTAAATTCCATAAAGCTGGAGTCTGAATCTTGTTTATCACTCACTCTCAAAGTCTATCACTTGCTCGACAAAAAGTAGGTGATGGATAAATAGCAGTTGAATAAATGCTGCATGATTTTACTTTCCTAGTACAGGGATGGTATCAGGAACAGTGATAGAAACAATCATTTTAAAAGCATTAAAGTAATAAAAGCACCCCCAGCAGAAAGATGACAAATTAGCCCTTTCCCTGTTAGCCTAGTTAATGTAATTTTAGTCATGTCTACATGCCACAATATATGCTAATAAGATTCATTTAATTTTTCCAAACAAATAAAACTATAATTAAAAGGTGTGTCTCTATGTGGACACCCCCAAGTATTCATAAAATTCTGACACTAAGGTAATCAGGCAGCCCACTGGGGAAGGAGGCGAGCTGACGTTTCCTAGTTCCGGGTCAAGGTGCGCTTGCCTGCGCCCTCTTCTGGGTAGACTAAGAATCGCTTAGGTGTGAAAGACTCCGTAAGGAATGGTAGTTTAGGATCAACCCCACAGTGTGGTTCTAGGTTCAGATCAGCCCAGACTTTCCAGAGAAGAATGAGTGGTTGAAAACTCAGGGAGGAAATGTGTGACATTACCGCTGGTCAGGAAACTGTGCCGTTCTGCAGTATTGTGCCAGGTCATCTGTAAGAGGCTCATGTCCTCGTCCGCACCGTCGTATCACCTGATGTCCCTCCAGCTGAGAGGAATGGGCTTCCTGGTGGCAGTACCGGGCCCTCAATCCTGGGCACACGATCCCACCCCCTTCCAGAAAACCAAGTCAGAGGACCGCCTCTGTCCAGCTGACTCTCTTTAAGGCCTGATTGCCAGATTTAGCAACTATTCGGCAGATGTTTTCTTTTGTCTGGCAACCCTCTCTGACATGCTCAACTCTTCTGGTCTCCTGGTGCTGCCTTGCTTCTCTTTTTCACCTCACTTGATCTTCCTTCTTCAACTTCACTAGTCTCTGAAAATGACTTGAACTTAAAAATTTTTTTCTTGGAGGCTGGCCCCGTGGCCAAGTGGTTAAGTTCGTGCACTCCTCTTCAGCAACCCAGGATTTTGCTGGTCCAGATCCTGGCCACAGACATGGCACCGCTCATCAGGCCACGCTGAGGCAGCGTCCCACATGCCACAGTTAGAAGGACCCACAACTAAAATATACAACTATGTACTGGGGGGATTTGGGGAGAAAAAGCTGGAAAAAAAAATTTTCTCCTTATTTATTTATTTTGAGGAAAATTAGCCATGAGCTAACATCTGTGCCCATTTTCCTCTACTTTAAATGTGAGACGCCTACCACAGCATGGCTTGCCAAGCGGTGCCATGTCCACACCCAGGATCCAAACTGGCAAACCCTGGGCCACCGAAGCAGAGTGCACGAACTTAACTGCTACACCGCCAGGCCAGGCCCATCTTCTTTATTATTTTTTACTTGTGTTAATCCCTTCCCCATTCTTTTAGTTCATTGTTTTGCTTTCTATTAGCTGATAATTTAATTTTGTCTGGTGATTTGTTTTTATTTTAGCCTACTTTCACTCCTTCTCATCTTTTCACCGAGAGACTTTCAAGCTTTGAATTTCCTGGTCTCAAATTATTTGTGCTTTTACGTTGTCTTCTTTTATGTTAATATTTTATCAACTTTTTTCTATTGAAACCAATTGCGATATTTGAATTTGTATATGAAGTATTCTTCATTTTTACTTTATCTGCTTTTCACTAATCATTCCTAACTCTTGGGCGTGTTTTTCACTTTAATTTGACATTTTACTTGACATTTAAGCCTCTTTTGCTTTGTTTTCTTATAATGTTCAGTCAAGTATTATCTTCCGTTTTTATTTAAATTGTTGCTGTTTTTCTCTTATTTTACAATGAGCAATTCAAGAAACAGGCTGATAAAGGGGACAATACCAAGGACATCTGCATGGTGAAGGAGAGCACACGATTGGTTGTTCCTCCCGAGAGCACTCCTAGGGGAGGGGCCAGGTAGGCGGGGGCCCCGGCGACTTGCTCTCCTTCGAGTAGTTTCTTTGTGAGTAAAGAAATACAGGACGTTGAGTCAGCAAGTCAGGCAAAGAATGGGATCTTGGCGTTGGGCTACTGCTGGCTAATGAGGATTCTATTTTCTGCTTATAAGAGTAATTTTGCAACAAGATCTATGCGTCCGTACCAAAGACATGTCACAGATAATTTCAGTATAGACAACTGCTCCTTGGCCTTTCTAAAAAGTGGAGAAAGTTGAGGAGACCTAAGAACAAGAGGTTCCTCCTATAGTTCTCCCCAAAGATGGTGCTATGTTTATAGAAAAAAATAAAAAGCAAATGCAAAGAAAGGAAGGGAGAGGTGGAAGGAGGGGAAAAAATGAAAATGCAATTTCAGGAGTTTTTATACCAACCTTCTTATTGTACAGTCTGAGAGGGAAAAGAGTCAGCACCTTAGATGGACTCAAGTCCCTGAAAATTAAACCCCAGGGTCAATGCTTGAACCAGTGGTTTTCAACAAGGGGAGTGGGGGACATTTTGTGCCCCAGGGAACATTTGTAATTGTCTGGAGACATTTTTGGTTGTCACAGTGGGGCAGAGGGGTGCTACTGGCATCTAGTTGGTAGAAGTCAGAAACACAAGTGGCTGGCCCCATGGTGTACTGGTTAAGTTCACGCACTCCGCTTTGGCAGCCCAGGGTTCATGGGTTTGGATCCCGGGCGCAGACCTACACACCATTCTTCAAGCCATGCTGTGGCAGCATCCCACGTACAAAATAGAGGAGGATGGGCACAGGTGTTAGCTCAGGGTCAATCTTCATCACCAAAAAGGGAAAAAAAAAAAAAAGAACTCAGGGATGCTGCTAAGCACCCTACATGCACAGGACAGCAAAAATCACCCAGGCCAAAATGTCAATAGAGCTGAGGCTGAGAAACCTGGTATGATGACAGTGTTCCTAACAATCTTCCTAACACCTTAAAGGACTTCTATTCACTCCCATTTGATGACCTCTTCCCCAAACATCCCCTCTGGTGGACACAGTATCAGCTCTATCAACCAACCGTCTCCCACATGGCTCAGTCCATCTCTTATTTCTCTGCAAGTTATTTCTCCACACCTCTTTCCCAGGCTGAGCAGCTTCGACCTCGATTGTCTCTTCCCAGCATCCGTTTCTTCCTCTTGAGCCATAGTTCAGTCAACCTGCTCTCACTGAGGATGCGTATCTGGCCTGGGGAACGTGCAGCTTCTCTCACTACACACAATGGACCATCCGTGCTTTGACTAGAGACACGTAAACCCGCGCTGCCCATCTCAACAAGTCACTAAGCAGCAGCCTAGCCCCCAGGGAACACTCAGCTTCCCAAGGATGATAGCTCCATTTCTCCAGATCCCGCAGCTTCCCTGTGTCGGCTTCCCCCACAAGCTCTGAATATCCCCAGTGGCTCCTACCCATTCAGCTCATACGCCTTAGGCAAAGGGGAAAAAGGGGTTATGGACAAAGGGAAGCAGATGTCCACGTGGGAGGGGATAGAGTGCCGGGTGAAGAACACGGGTGCTGGAGCCAGAACACCTGATGCCGCCTCCAGTTCTTGGTCACCTTCCTTAACTCCTCTGTGCCTCAGTTTCCTTATATGTAAAGTGGGGATGTCTTAAAGGGATGTTGTCAGGATCAAATGAGTTAGGACAAAGGAAGCACTTAGGACAGTAGCAGGCACAACAGCGGCCTGGTAAAGGCAGATACCATTAAACGGGAGTCATGCCGGGAATCAATAGCGGAGAAGTCACTGTTCTTGCTGCTAATGCCACCCTCAGATAGTATTGTATAAATGTATCAACCAGATGGTCAGCACGACCAAAGGTTACCACTCTCCAAGGTTAAGTAAAAAGCTAAGCAAATTTCACTTCCTTACAAGGGCAATGGGACTGCACTCCATCCTACTTCGCGTTGATTCTGTTTCCTCTGTGCCGTTTCGGAAGGAGCACACTGTGTACCGTTCTCCAGGCTTCCCGGCTGCTTCCTTCTCCTGTGTCCTCAGGGAATTCATGGCCTTCCCTCTTATAACTCAGCACGTAATTATTACAAAACACAAA